CTATCTATCTATCTATCCATCATCTATCCATTATCTATCTATCTATCTATCTATCTATCTATCTATCTATCTATCTATCATCTGTCTATCTATCTATCCAAACATCCGTCCATCCATCTATCCTGAAAACCTCAAAAAGTCACTCCATTTCTGATCCTGCCTTTTCTTCCCCTCTCCCTCCTTTTCTAAGGACTTCAGGCTCCCACTCTTTGCCAGCCATCCCCAAAGAGGCCAAGGATTAACTCATCAGTCAGCCAGTGGCCAAAGGCACTACTCTCATTGGCCATAGGGTCTGGGCAGTGGGGTAGGGATAGGGTGAGGGGTTAATGCCAATTGATCAGAAAGTGTAATGGTGTCAGGTACCATGTCAGGAATGACAGCATCCCCAGATGATGGATGAAGACCAAACTCCCACAAAGTGCTAAATAAATCCCCTTGCATATGCATAGGCTCACACATGCACACGCACACACATTTCCCCTTAGAGTCATTCACTATTGTTTATGACACTTGCGAAGCTGCTGGAACCTGGTGAGGGGGAAGCACCAATCCAGAGAAGGAAGGAATATAATTCCGGGACAAGCCAATGTCTTTCAGCCACTAGGTCCCATTTCTTAGCTTCTCTGCGCTGGTTGGCTTTCCAATCAAGAACTGGTCATTACCCTACATCCTTGTGAAGAGTTATCCTCTCCTGGGCCTTCCCACTGCCTCTCAGGCTCATTTCCCAGGGTCTCCTCTGCACTGAAGGGGGGCCACCCCAGGGACCTCAGCATCCCCATCCTTTACAGTGATGGGCTGGGGCTAAGTGAGTTATAGCCTTGCAGCTCATTTAGGCTCTGCTGAGGACCCCTCTTAGGGGGAGCTCTCCCTTTGGGGAAGGGGGCACAAAACCCCAGTCCTCTGACCATCTGGCAATGGCTTCTATGAGGAGACTAATGGGGCTCTGAGGCCAAGTTGCTAACGAGCATGATGCAAAAGTCTTTGGAATGCGCCCTCTTGTGGCCTGTCCCCGGTCCTAGGCAAAGAGAACTGGGCGACCCTCCCCCCTCCCAGCACCGGCAGCCCCTGTGGCAGACAGCATCCCCACTGCCTGCGTTCTTTCTCTCATGCCTAGCACAGCCTGAGCCCCAGATAGAGGTGGTGTCTCTAGGTAAGGAATCAATCAGGGCTCCAAGCTCCTCCAACCCCTCAGCAAACAATGTCCTCCAGGCCCCAGGATTCCAGGGACCTCCCCCTGCAGCTTTCTCGGCACTTTCTCCAGCCGGGCGGTTTCAGATTTCTCCTCTCCTTTCCTTCCTAGTTCTCTCTCCCCTCCTCCTCCCTGCTGCCTGGGGGCTTCTCTGAGTTGATCACCTAGCTGGCTGCTCGCAAAGCTGCCAGCCTTATCCTCTGGCCTGGGCAGTGGCCCAAAGCTTAACAGTTCACTGACTAAGAAGTTCCCTTCTTTAATAAAACAACACTGTTGCCCCTCTCCCCACACCCCCCACAGCAACATCTGCAAAACTAGAGGGAGCCACCTGCCAGGCTGAGCCAGGCTCCCCTGCACCCCTCCCCTCTCTCTACCTGCTCTCCGAAAACAGGACAATCCCTGGAGGCCGTCCTCTGAGGTAGGGGGAGGGGTCCCATCCTGAGAGCTCACCTAGGCTCCAGATGTAGCTTTGGCTTGATAAGTCAGAAGAAAACTTTTTTTTTTACTGAATGGAAGAAATGGGAAACAAGGGTTGGATCAGCACAGCTGTCTCCCTACTGTTTGAAAAAAGCCATGCCTGGAGGTAAAGCCAGGAGAAAGCAGCCCACCTGCCAAGAATGACCATGAGCGGAGTGGGCAGCTGAATGGGGTGCTTCAGCAGCAGCCTCTGGCTCCTCACCATGACCCCCTCTGCCTTCAATGTGCCCTAGGAAGCAAGTGACAGAAAGACTGGCAAACATGGAATCTGTGGCCAAGGGTGATGCTTCTTGTGTCTGGGGATGGCAGGGTATTCCATTGGCTCACATTTGTGCTATTAAAATACCTTAGCAAGGAAGCCCTTCTGATCAACTCTGGAGATCCTCAGGCCTGGATGATGTTCTGTGGGAGGCACCATTCTGAAAGCCCCATCGGCCTCCTATCCTTCTTTATCATCATCTGAGCAAAATCATCAGCCCTAAGGCCAACAGGTCTTGACCAATCCCACACTGTCTCTAGGTCAAGGATTTCTTAACATGGGTCAGACGGACCCCTTTTTCAGTCCGATGAAACCTTCTCAAAATCATGTCTTGGAATACATAAGATCCATAGGAATACAAAGGAAACCAATGATATTGAAATACAATAATCAAACTTAAAAAAATAAATTCTCAAAACCCAGGTTAAGAACCCCTGCTCTGGAGCCAAAAAATTCCTGCTCTGGTGGTAAAGTTTACACTACTGGAAGATGATGAAATGTTCTTATTCTTATGGGGAGGGGGGGTTTACAAACAAAACAAAGCAACTTTGCCAGGGGCCTGTTCCCAAAGCCCCACTAATTCCCCTCCCCCGTTGAATCTTTAAACCAAGCAGGCAAGAGCTTTCCACCACAAGGCTCGATTCTAGACAATGTGGGATTCATTTAACCCCTTAAGAGGGATAGCTCTATTTCCTTCAAACTAACTGCTTAGCAGATAGTAAAGGCAAGGCTGCTGTCAGAGAAGAAAGCTGTCTTGGCTGAGAAAGGAAAAGGCAGAAAGCTGAGAGAGGGTGGTCAACACCAGAGTAAAAGAGCAGCTATGTCTCTGGTACCCAGGCTGAGAGCCACTCCAGTGCTCTGGCACTGTTTGTCTCATTTTAGATGCTAGAAGCCCCTCTCTCCCAGCCACCCCAAAGGGGCCAGGGGCAGAAGGGCAAGTTGAATGATCAGCCAGCTGCTGGTCTAGAGCACTGCTGTCATTGGCCTTGTGGTACCCCAGGATAAAGCCAATTGAGGCGGTATAATAGATCAGAAGCAGGTACCATAAGAAGTATATAAAAATATCTACCACATTTTTTTTGTGTCAGGGAACTTAGGAACTAGGTTGGCAAGCAACATGGCGTAGGCTGATACGCACAGACTACTTGCCCCCAAATTCATCAGGTAGAGAAGAAAAGAGTCGTGGGGAGTCCCTAGCCAACCCTAAGTCTGGAAAGAGCCAGCCCCAGGGAATGCGTGATGTTGGGCTGGATTCACTGAGAGCAGAGGGAAGCTGGCTGGCAGCAGGGACTGTACACTTCCTGACCTGACACTTCTTTCTTGCACACAAGACCTCGAAGTCAACAAGTTTTTGGGGCTGCAAAGTCCTAAGCATTGCCTGGATTGTGGTGCTCACTGTGGCTGACTTCTCAGAAATGCCTGGAGCCCCTTTTCTGACTAAATGCTCACTGCTGAAGCACAGCCAAACTAGGCTTCTTCATCCAGTGGCTCTGGAGTAGAGGAAAGCCCTTTGCCTGTGGGGGGGGCACAAAATGCTCCTTTTCTGGATTTGCTTGGAAAGCCCAGCCTGCTCCTGCCTTCCTCCCAGGCAAACAGGCACCAGGGGAGCCCCCTTCTGCCCTGCCAAATCTCTGCCTCTCAGGGCCCCTGTGAACAAGGGGCCCGGAGAGTATCTGCAAGTGGCCAGCAAGGTTGCATTCCTTGGCAGGGGGCAGCCTCTCCGAAACTTCACAGAGAACAAGCCTCTTTTTTCCCCTGCTTTCTTTTTTTGGTTCAGAGGGCAAAAGTCAGTGTTACAAATGTTACCCATGTGAATGCCAGCTCAGAGGGAGCTGACAGCAAGTGCGCCTGCCCCCAGCCCTCCGCAGTTAACGCCCAGGGTGTGCTACCGAGAGAGATGCGTATAGATACAAATGTAGCACACGACTGTCTGTCTGTCCCTCCGTCTGCTGTTTGTCTGTCCCTCGGATTGTCCGTTCTTTGGGCTGTCTCTGTCCGTCAGCATCCCAGGGTTCTGTCGCCCTTCAGACCATCCCGGCGGCAGCGGCGGCACCTTAGCTTTCAAACAATTCTTTCTCCTCTTTCTTTCTGCCTCTCCTTCCCCCACGCCATACAGAAAACAAAAACAAACCGCTACGGCAACAGCACACGGAGTTTGGGGCCCGGGCCCCAAGCAAAGCTCTTCGGGCGCTCGCTCTCAGCTTCAGCTCGGCTGGGCTGGCCACCACCCTGCTCCCCCAAGACTGACAAGCTGGGAGCAAGAATCAAGCTCTCCCATCTCCCCACTCTCCAGGCACTCACCGCTTGCAGGAAGCCTGGGCAGCCTGACTTTCGGCTTTGAAAGGCTGGTCAAAGACATCCCTACCCTCCACTCACCCCCATATCCCACCCCCGTCGGGGCTGAACGAGTTAGGAAGTGTTAGCAGAGAAGACACCACAGATCCTGATACAGTCCCAGCAGAGAGTAGCCGAGGCGGCCCCCACGGCCTGTTCAGTCCTGTGCCCAGGCTGCCCACCTCTGCCTTCCTGATGATGAAGCCCACACATGTCCTACTCAATTCTGTGCCCAGGCTGCTCACCCCTTCCTTTCTGTCCCAGGCACCCCCAAGGGCAGAGACTGATGCAGCCTGCAGGTCCTGCTCCGTTCGGTGCCCAGGCTGCCCATCCCCGGCCAAAGGCAGCGACCGATGCGGCCCGCCCAGGTCCTGCTCAGTGCTGTGCCCAGGCTGCCTACCCGTCCCTGCCCAGCCACGACCAAGGGAAGCCACCGATGCAGCCTGCAGGTCCTGCTCCGTTCGGTGCCCAGGCTGCCCATCCCCGGCCAAAGGCAGCGACCGATGCGGCCCGCCCAGGTCCTGCTCAGTGCTGTGCCCAGGCTGCCTACCCATGCCTGCCGAGCCTTGGCCAAGGGCAGCGACCGATGCAGCCTGCAGGTCTTGCTCCTTCCTGTGCCCCAGCCACCCACCCTTGCCTGCCTGCCCAGCCCAGGAGTGCGAGAGTCTAAGGGAGGGCACTCCTCGCAAGTGCAGTATGGTGCGGGTGGGGAGCCACGGAGGCGAAACGGCAGGCACCCACCTGACTCGGCGAAGGTGATGATCTCGGAGGTTTGCTCTAGGAGATCATTCATCTCGGCCCGGCGCCCAATGTCGTCCTCGATTTCCACGTACCCGTTCTCACCCACCTTGCCCACATGCAGTTTTTTGATGGCATTGAGCAGGGCTGCCTTGGGCACGGGCTGGCTGACGTCGGGTCGCTTCTTCAAGTGCAGCATGTTTAGGATGTGTTTCTTGACGGCTTCCACCATCTCGGGCTGCGAGCTGGGCAGCTCCTTGGGCAGGCTGCTGAGGGCGCAGGACGGGCACTCCGGGACGGGGCCGGGGCTGGCGCCCTCCGAGCCTGGCGTAGGGGAGCTCCTGACTCGGATCCAGCAGAGCGCCAAAAGAAAGCCTCTCAGCGAGAGCCCAGGCATGCTGGCCGCCCGAGCTGGGGTGATTCGCTTTTTTTAAAAGCCCGGGGAGCCTGACCCCCTCCCTCCGGCAGGCAGTGGGCTGGGGTTGCTCGCTCGCTCGCTTGCTCTCTCGCTCTCTCTCTCTCTCTCTCTCTCTCCTCCGCGCGCTCGCTCTCTCTCTCTCTTTCTCTCCCCCTCTCTCTCCTTCTCTCTTTCTCTCTCGCTTTTTCCTTCTCTTCAGCAAATTCTCTGGAACGAAAACAAAAAGTTTTCTGTGAAGTTTGGTTTGTAGGTCCCTTCCCTCTCTGAATGCAGTAAGTGCTGGACGTCTGCGGCTGTCAGGGAGGAGAGTTCTGACTGTCTCAGAGTAGGATAGAGGGAGAGGGAGAGAGAGAGGGAGAGAGGGAGAGAGCGAGTGAAGGGGGGAGAGACAGACAGAGACAGAGGGGGAGAGAGGGAGGGAGGGAGGGGGAGAGAGAGAGAGAGAGAGAGAGAGAGAGAGAGAGAGAGAGAGAGAGAGAGAGAGGAAAGAGAGAGAGAGAGAGAGAGAGAGAGAGAGAGAGAGAAGAGAGAGAGAGAGAGAGAGAGAGAGAGGAGAGAGAGAGAGAGAGAGAGAACGACGGATTGGCCTGAAGTGAGTGAGTGAATGAGAGAGGGAGGGAGTTTTGTCTGTGAGTAAAGGCTATGTATGAGTAGGGAGGGGGAGGAACAGCCCAGATTCTGACAGGCTGCCTTCCTTATGCTCCTTGCTCCCCAACGCACACCTCTCTTCAAATACCACCATTCTCTCTCTCTCTCTCTCTCTCTCTCTCTCTCTCTCTCTCTCTCTCTCTCTCTCTCTCTCTCTCTCTCCCTCTCTTTTTACTCTCCCTACTTTAAAGGAAGGGGGATCTTTTTTCTCTGAGTGTGCCCTCCCTCTTCTCTACTCTACCTCTCCTTCCTGTTTTTTTTTTTAATAAAAAAGTTTAAAGAAACAAGGCCAACTGGATGGAGTAGGGGGGAACTGCCCCCCTGTTAAAACCTTGGACAGCCACCTGGCTCTGAAGGTGAGAGGGTTAAGACTAAAAGGGCAATGGAAGCACAATGGGGGGAAGTAGGGAGGTAGGGTATGGAGGAGGGGGAAAGGAGCTGGACCCTGAATGAAACAGGAAAGATGGTGCTTCTCTCTCTTCTTCATTCACATGTAAATGTCCAGGGTTATCAACAAGAGCAAGAGATCAGAAGGCAACAGAGGAACAGTGCTTTTGTCATAGAATATAGAACATATTTGTGAACTACAGAATGCATCAGAGTATTGAGAGAGAGAGAAAGAGAGAGAAAGAGAGGAGAAATTCAGACAGTAGGCAGTCCTGTACATGTCACATTAAGATATTCTTCCCACTCTAGCCTCCTTTCTCTCCCTCCTCTCTCCCTCCTCTCTCTCCCTCTCTCTCTCTTTCTCTCTCTCTGTCTCTCTCTGTCTCTCTCTCTGTCTCTCTGTCTCTCTGTCTCTCTCTCTGTCTCTGTCTCTCTCTCTCTCTCTCTCTCTCTCTCTCTCTCTCTCTCTCTCTCTCTCTCTCTCACACACACACACACACACACATGCACTAGGTTACTGCTTTCTTCAAAATTTACAGATCCAACCCAAAACTCACTTGTTCTTTCTCACTTTATTTTACACACTGTGCACTCCTGTGCCTGAACAACTAGCTCCGTAGGGAAATCAATCTGAGAGGTATATTGTAGGATGGTTTACTCCATCATGTGACTGCTCATCAACTTGCTCCCCCCTGTCCCTCAGTTCTTTAATGGGTCCTATCTTTTGGTGTGTTTCTTTTTTTCTCAGAGGAAAGATGCAAGAGAAATCTTTATGTGTTTTTATTTCCTTTTCCAAATGAAAGACAAACCAGACTTTTTAAAACAGTGCCTTTCCAGAAGGGTCCTCCTTGCCTCTGTGCTCCCCCCCCACCATTGCCTATATTCTGCTCCTTCCTTTTATCCTGAGGAAGTTTCTTTAAGGTGTCTCTCTCTCTGAAACCTCCCCCTCCTGCCTGTCTGTGGGCTTCCCTCTCCAATACAGAAACCCTTTCTATTTCTGCAGTCAGCTTCTATGTTGGCGCCCAGTGTGTACAGTACATTACAGTTCAGCACCATCATTGTCGTGGGAAAAAAATCACTTCTAAATCTAACCACCATTAGGTTTCCACTTCCCTTCAACAATGAGGGCATAAGACCTGAGCGTGGAGGGATGGAAGGTAATTGTGGAAAGAAGCTAACACGAGACAAGTAAATGAACAATCAGCAATGGTGTTGTGCAGTCTCCACAGTGCCCACTCTTTCCAGAATAACCCTTTATAAGGCATTCCTTGCCATTAACACCCTCTTGCATTTGTGCTTTGAGATCGGCTGCCCTCAGTTCTGACCCTGGTACTCAGGATGTGTCAAGCGCTCCCTTTCTCACCCCAGCTTTTCTTTTTTTTTTTGGAGGGGGAGGGGTGGGGAGATGGAAGGGGGAGAGGAGCCAGAGTGGAAGGCAGTTGCACTGTCCTCCTCTCCTAAACATATATGTGTAATATAATCCTTCAGATGATATACTTAAATATTTGGAATCTCGTAAACACAAGCCCCAAACATATTGTAATTCAATTAAGTTTTACAAGTGAGTCTGAAAGAGCACTAAAAGTTTAAGTGACTGCAGGAAAGGCAGGCAAGGGGAAGCAAAAGGGAGTGGGACTAAATTCTGCTCGCAGCAGCCCCGCATCATCCCTCTCATGACTTGGCCTAAGATGGGTGTCTGTGGGTGGGTGGGTGTTCCCTGGATTTATTGTTTGTGAATGGGAGTCTGAAAGAAAAAAACAAACTAAAAACAAAAAACAAAGTCTTCTCCTCTCCCATGTGCATTTATTTGTTGATGCTGACTGAAGTGTGCCAGCCAACCCAGGTTTTATGATACCTTGTCTGGGGTCCATTGCAAACTCAGCATTAACCTGCTTGATGGACCCCAAGCTCCCACCCCATCGTTTGCTGCAAACCTCCATTGATGTGGCCTTCTCTATTACCTGCAATGCTCCTTCCTCCCCACCCCACCTATTCACAGAAGCAGCCATGGAGCTTTGCATTTCGTGGTTCTGGAAGTGCAGACAGGCCCTCAAGAAAAGTTGGAAAGATTTACCTTGCTGTTTGCGGGGCTCCCACCAGCACACTCTCCTTGAATGGGGATAAAGGAAGGCAAGAGGCTTCTTGGTAGTATTCCTAATGGGAAGCTTTATAGCAGACTGCTGATTTGTACACTCACACATTGGTACCACTCAAACTGAAGAGGGCTGGGGCTTTGTTTGGGATTGGTTAGAGTTAGCATTACATCAGCAAGTGACTGGTTTTTCCAGTGTGAGACATATTTCTCTCATAATTCATTATCTAATGGAAAACCCTATTTGTCTGAGATGACACTCACTGTTGGGTGATACACGGAGCCAGTGAATCTTCAGCCTTTTAATAGAGAAAATGAGAAGTGAGCAGGCCTCCCACACTAAGCAGCCAGCTCCCAAGCCCACACTGAGCAGCCAGCTCCCAAGTGTTCTCCTACTACTCAGACACAGTGGGGGACAGCCATCTCCTCCCAGACTCGGTTTGACTTCTCCAAAGTAGAGGGGTCACTTCATTCATTCAGCTCTCTTTTTACAGACTGGCTCCTTGGGGCACTCAATGAAAGAAATGGTCCCTGCTTTCAGAGAAACTGTCCTTTTAGTGGGACAAAACTCAGAGAGCAACTCATTTCAAAGGCATCTGAAAAGTCTGCCTGCCCATACAAAGTCCCTCTGGGGCTGTCTCCCCCCTCTCCAGGACTATAGCTTGATGGGGACCCTAAGTCTCCTCCTCATTCCTGAAGCTTTTTTTAAAAATCAGGAGCAATTTTGGAAATCCTCTGGCTTTCCAAGAAAAATCCATCCCGGTTCCTGGGGACACAGTTCTCTTAGAAAAGGGAGCCCTCTTATTCCCCTGCCTGCTCAGAAGTCATTCTTCATAAGTATTTTTCTTCCCCCCTTTCCCCACTCCTCTCTGTGGTAACAGAACTTTAATACCACGTAATTCATACAGAGAGATGAAGTCTTTTCATAATAAGAGGAAAGTTTCTCAGGTTAAAAGCAGGAAACCAGAAAGCCTGAGTGAGAATTTTGAGGGGCTATATGCCCTGTGTGCAAGGGGAGCCCTTGGAGCACAAGTCAGTTTCTTAGGAGGAGTCAGATAAAATGTGCAAAATTGGGAGCTAATGGAAGCCACATGACCAGATATGTTGTTTTGTTTGCAGGGTTTAACATGCATAAAATAAACTTTTCACTGTGCCCACAAGCAAAATGCACGGGCTGCTGGCCTTCTGTTCTAGGGGATACTTTCAACAGGTCCTTTTCAGCTGAGGGTGGGCTGAAATTTCTGTGATATGATGGTCTCAGCTGGCTGAAAACAGTGTATGCCTATATCTCTGTGTATGTGTGTGTGTGTGCATGTGTGTGCACATTGAACAGTCGATATTTGTTTTGGGATCTAAAGTTTGGAAACACTTTATGTACATTATCATATTTCAACATCCTACTAGCCTTATAAACTTAGTGGTATAAGAATTATTAGGGCTACAGATATGCGTAACCCTGACCATTTTACAGGAAGGGACATTGAAGCTCAAGGAAATGAAATGACTTGTCCATGGACACACAATCTATGTCAGAGGTGCTATTTGAACCTAGATACATCTCTCTAGATGAACCAAATTGGGATGCCTCACTATGTCCCATGTTGTATTTAATAAGCCCTCTTAGAGTGAAAAGAGAAACCCAGAGAAGTGTAAATGACTTCAGGAAAAGTTTCCCACAGATACCCAAACATTCAACCACTTTTTGTGAGGGAGGAAAAGAACTCTGAAGTGTCCGATTTGTTTTTCTTTTCTTTCTTTTCTTTTCTTTTCTTTTCTTTTCTTTTCTTTTCTTTTCTTTTCTTTTCTTTTCTCTTCTCTTCTCTTCTCTTCTCTTCTCTTCTCTTCTCTTCTCTTCTCTCTCTTCTCTTCTCTTCTCTTCTCTTCTCTTCTCTTCTCTTCTCTTCTCTTCTCTTCTCTTCTTCTTTTCTCTTCTTTTCTTTCTTTTTTAATCGACTTGTGATTGAATTAGCTTGGGGACTCTTAGGCAAAGCAGCAATCAGTGTGGATTGGCAGATGCTCTGCAATGTTGCCATATAGAGTTGTCTTGGGTGCTGAAAGGCTCTTTAGTAATATGAACATTTATACAGGTCTTTGAAATTTGCAAAGCGCCGTACAATTTTTATCTTCTTTGAGCCCAACAACCTTGGGAGGCTGGTGCTATTATTATCTTCATTTCATAGATAAAGAAACTGAGGCTGAGTTGACTGATTTGCCCAAGGCCATCCAAATCCTAAGTTTTTGAGGCAAGATGGGAACTCAGGTCTTCCTGACTCCAGA